CCTCTCTTCCTGCCCCTTCATTTAACTTAGAAAATAGTAAATTAAACGTATATTTGAGTTTTAATATATAAATTTTATAAGAAAGTGTTGATATCCTTTTAAGTCAGTGTGAAGAAGTGTATATTAGTGTGAATGTATCTAGCACAAAGAAAAGGTCTTGTATCTGTTGTATTCTGGCCCCATTCCTGTGGATTTAGGGCAGGCTTACTTGGGCAGATATATAGTGCTTCAGCATCTGTCACATCTCTTTTGCTTTCCTTCTCCTCTTCTCCCCCAATTTATGTTTAACCGTAAACTTGAGTAGTGTACCATATCAATTGTAAATGAACTCCACATAGTATAATGTAAGAATGGGTACCAGAATAGCCCAATAATAGCCCTAAGAAACATGTAATAGGTGCTGGATAGACACCATGAGGCTATTTTGTATCTTGGTCAGTTCTGTACCGTTTTCTACCAAATAAGTGTTGATTACCAGCTATTTGATGTCGATTTCAGGGCCTGAAGAGACGAGAGGCATCTGCCATCATATTTTTGAGATATCTGTCATGCTAAGTTTCATGATTCATCAGGAGGGTGTACTCTATCTTTGTGAGTTCTCCATCACCATCCTTCATTAAAGGCTCGTTTACAACATATTCTAGTGTAGTTTAAAGGTCCCAAAGAGACGAGAGGTTTGCGTGTCCGTGTTCTCGAGATATCTTCCATTTTCTGTTTTGGAGAGCAAGTACCTTAGGTCAGTCAAATTTCCATCGTTTCTTATCATCTAGGGCTCGTTTAAAACATATTCTAGTGTCATTTGAAGGTCCCAAAGAGACGAGAGGTTTGCGTGTCCGCGTTCCGGAGATATCTTTTATTTTCTGTTTTGGGGAGCAAGTACCTTAGGTCAGTCAAATTTCCATCGTTTCTTATGATCTAGGGCTCGTTTAAAACATATTCTAGTGTCATTTGAAGGTCCCAAAGAGACGAGAGGTTTGCATGTCCGCGTTCCGGAGATATCTTTTATTTTCTGTTTTGGGGAGCAAGTACCTTAGGTCAGTCAAATTTCCATCGTTTCTTATGATCTAGGGCTCGTTTAAAACATATTCTAGTGTCGTTTGAAGGTCCCAAAGAGACGAGAGGTTTGCGTGTCCGCGTTCCAGAGATATCTTCCATTTTCTGTTTTGGGGAGCAAGTACCTTAGGTCAGTCAAATTTCCATCGTTTCTTATGATCTAGGGCTCGTTTAAAACATATTCTAGTGTAGTTTGAAGGTCCCGAAGAGACAAGAGGTTTGCGTGTCCGCGTTCTGGAGATATGTTACATTTTCTGTTTTGGGGAGTGAGTACCCTAGGTCAGTCAAATTTCCATCATTTCTTATGATCTAGGGCTCCTTTAAAATGTATTCTAGTGTTGTTTGAAGGTCCCAAAGAGACGAGAGGTTTGTGTGTCCGTGTTCCGGAGATATGTTACATTTTCTCTTTTGGGGGGAGTTGAGCTGTATCTCAGTCAGCTTTCCACCATTTTTCTTCACTGAAGGCTCGTTTACATTGTATTCTAGTCGTATTTGAAGGAGCTGAAGAGATGACATCCATACATGCTCCTATTTCTATGCTATCTCACATCCTCCTCTATTTTTTTTGCGAATTTTTATTTATTTTCATAATCATTTGGTTTCTATTATAGTTCTATGCTCGAAATATACATTACACTGTGTATCTATCAGGTAGACAGCATCTAATTTACCCAGATTTATAGTCACATCACTTTGAGAATTATGTGCCGGCTTGAGCCGGCTTTGGGTCAGCTAAAAGCCGAGCTGAGCCACTTAAGGAAATTTAGCTGGCTTACATAAGCCGGCTCTCGACTAGCTGAGCCGCAGCAACACTAGTCCTGATGTGAAAGGCAACTTGGTCATGATGTCAAAAAGTAGTGATGTGGCAATAGCAATATGTAAAGTCATGTCAATCCTTTAGCCATATCCCCACATGAACCTATACTAATTATGTTTTGACATAGGACAGTAGGTATCAATATGAAGGCCTAGGCTAGCCTTTCCTAATGGTAAAGACTGCTTGTCCATAATGTCAAAAACTAATGCAGCAGAACTGGTAATATGTAAGTAAGATGATGTTAATCCTTCAACCTCATCCCCATAACCTAGACAGAGCCAAGGACACCATAAACTACATGTCAACTACAAACTTTTGTGGTCTCAAAAAGCAGACACTTCAAACTTTTCTAATGAAAAAGCACACACTACAAACTCTTGTAGTCTCAAAATGCAGATACTATGAACTTTACTGATGAAAAAGCGCATACTACAAACTTTTGTAGTCTCAGAAAGTGGACACTACTAACTTTTCTGATGAAAAAGCACACACTTTGTAGTCAAAAAAAGTGGAAACTACAAACTTTCCAAATGGAAAAGTGCACACCAAACTTTTGTAGTCCCAAAAGGCAGACACTACAAACCCTTCTAAGGAAAAAATGGGCACTACAAAATTTTGTAATGATGAAAGGTGGACACTACAAACTTTGTAGTCTGGATACACTTTTAACCCTAACCCTAACTTTGTAGTCTAAGTCCAAACTTTTGTAGTCTAAGTCCGACATTTGTAGTTCTTTGTAGTTTATCAGTAGATTTGTAGTCTAAGTCCGACTTTTGTAGTCTTTTGTAGTGTATCAGTAAACTTTGTAGTCTCAGTCCAACTTTTGTAGTCTATCAGTAAACTTTGTAGTCTATGTCTGACTTTGTTGGTAGTCTATGGTAGACTCTTATAGTCTGTCAGTGTCAATTTCTTTTCTAGGGTATGCACCTTCCTTTTTTGGTCATTTTTCCCATGATACAATAATTGTAGCCCTTTCTTTTAGCTTTCTAAATATACTGAAATCATGTTGTTTGGTTTTATTTTCATGGAGAAAAACACAAAACACAAAAAACAAATGCGACACTTTTGAAATTCATTTACCTCATATCTCCATAATGGGAGCACTTCAGAATATAATTCAAAGAGTTTCAGGAAGCTACAATGTAGGGCTACAACTTTTGTTTTCACCATTTTTGGTAATTGGTCATGTGACCATCATCACAACATCCCATTACATGGACCCTGATACATAAAAACATTCTCCTCTTGGTTTTCTTCACTTTTGGTCAAACCAGGTGATGTTTCCTCTTTGGGATGGACCCTGAAGTGAACCCTGAAGGCAGTGCCTGATGTTCTGTGCACCATTCATATCTTTTTCCATTTTTTTTGGCTATTTTCTAGCTATTTTCGGACATATTACCCTATTTGGACATATGCCCCAGACCCTGAAAACAACCCCAGATGTCATCACCAACAGCAAGCACCACCCCCATTTTTTTCTGATTTTTTTGGTTATTTTGTGGCTATTTTTTTTAGCTATCTTACCATATTTGGAAATGCACCCTGGACCCTGAAAACAACCTCCAATGACATCCCCAACAGTGAGCACCACCCCTAATTTTTTCTGACTTTATTGCTATAAAAAGCGCATGTTTCCTTATTTGGAAATGCGCCCTGGACCCTAAAAACCACCCCCAACATCATCACCAAAAGTGAGCAACACCTTAAACTCATTGTTTCTTGTATTAGTAGTCTATCCAGAGCCAAAATGTATTCAGTAGTGTGGCAGGCAAGTTTGTGACATGTTAACCAAAAAGATTTATTCAATAGTGAAACCATGAAATATATTTGTTTCACAATTTTAGCATCAAAAAAGATTTATTTAGTGCAAAAATATAGATTCAGTAGTGAAACCATGAAATATATTTAATTCAGAGTCTTGGCACCAATAAGATTTATTTAGTGCAAAAAAATAGATTCAATAGTGTGACAGCTGTTTCCCTACAATACCAACAAGGCAGTGATTCCACTCACTGCCTTTGTTTTTCATTTCATAGTAACTACCTGAGCCCCAGAACACAATGAGATGGCAGGAATCCCACCTGCTGTCTTGTTTGTTTGCCTGGCTTACATCCCCCTTGTACATACTTAGAATCAAAACGAGGCAGCGTTTTCACGCTGCCTCTTACTTTGAAATTTTGATTAAGTCTGAATTACCTAAAATAGACATTTGAAAGAAACCCTCAGCCCTAGCTGTGTGTGTTTAAGTTCCCACATCTTTCTTCCCTTCCCCCTTCATCTTGCTTCCTGTCCCCTTTGTTCTTGCAGTCCCACTTGGCTCTTATACCTTCTAATCTTGCTGTCTACTGCTATGAGTGCAAGAGAACTTCAATCTTTACAAGCTGGGGTGAATTCTCCCCCCAAACGAGGCCGGAAATGTGGCCAATCCAATACTGAGGAAACAAACACCAAGCATGCCAAGGCCACCACCAAGAGTGATGTTGAGGGGAGTGGTGAGGAAGAACCAGAGGCTGGAAAGGGCACCACAAAGGGAAAGAGCGGTGGTAAGAAGCAATACTTTACCATCCCCCACATAATCCACATGGACTCCACTGGATTCCACTGGCTTCCACTGGATTCCACTGGACTGGACTGCCAATCACAAAACTGGACTCCACTGGACTCTCCCAACACAAAACTGGACTGGACTGGACTGGACTGAACACTTAACTGGACTGGACTGGACTGGACTGGACTGCCACAGACCTTAAGCTAGATTTAGATTTCAGAGCAAAAAGAAAATTTAATACATTCTATATTACAGAGAGGGGGAGGGAGTGGTGATCAGGAAGGGAAAGAAGGGGGGAAGGAGGAAGGGAGGGGGTGAGAGTGGTGAAGGGGGAGGGAGTGGTGAAGAGGGAGGGAGTGAAGGAAGGGGAAGGGGGGAGGGAGTGGAGGGGTTGTTGTTGTCCCATTGTCGTCGCCCGCTCTTCACATGTCGCCCCCTCTGCGCATGTCGTTGTCATTGCATGTCGTGGGCTGCTTTGGTGCCGTGGCAGTGGGCAGTGGTCGTTTTTCGTTGGCTGTCGTTGTTTTTCGTGGGCGGTGGTCGTTTTTCATGTGACGTGGCAGTGGGCGGTGGTCGTTTTCCGTGGGGCAGTGGGCATGGACGTGTGGTGGTCGTTGACGTGGGCGTGTTGTTGTCGTCTTCGCGTGTTGTCGTCATAGTGCTTGTGTGTTGTCGTGGTGAGAACGGAGGAATGCGGTGGTGGGGCATACGTACCCCTTGCCCATGACGTTGCCACATCATGGGCGTTGTCCCTCGTTGTGTGTGTTGTTAGCGTGGGCGTTGTTAGTGTGGGCATGGGCGTCATGGGCGGCATTGAGATGGCAGGGGAGGTGAATGGGTGGTGGTGGTGGAAGGGAAAGGGAAGGTCACCGTAGTGTGACCATGCCACAAACAGGAGATGTGACAATATGGCATGCCCTCAAGTAAGTCATGTGACATCACCCTGCAGACTGAACAAAATCATGAATCCTTATTGCAGCTATCCCTGACCTATACTAATAACCAATGGAGCGCGCCTGCGGGCGCATAGCCCACTACGGTTTTTTCTTTAGTTCCAGTTATATTCATGTTGCTATGTAGGTACTAAGGTTATTGTGACATTACATTAAATCAATCGCTGACAAGGGTAAGCATTTTTAAAGTCGAATTGCTCGTATGTTGCAGAAAGCTGTCGATTGTCAGGTTTCCGCACATACTTAGTATAAGGAGTCAGCATACTTTTTGATTATTTCACGGGCATTTCCAATATCTTCTTCGTTGCAATCGATCACTTCGTTTCCGTGAAGTTTCATAACAAGAAGGGGTCCCTTCCATGTAAAATAGTGTTCGGGAGCGAATGACCAACAGACGCAGTCGTTGAAAGCCGTGATGCAATCCTGTTCTTCGAAGAATACTGCGTATGTTGGTTCTGAGTGTGCATGTTTGTCCAAAGTAAGAACTTGAACTATATGATGTAGTTGATAGCTTGTACGATTTTCAGCGTTAAAAGTCAGATAGCAAGTATGAGCAACCCAGTAGTCGGTTCTGTAGTTGGCGAGAGAGCCGTTGTTCGGCAGTGGGATCAACATAGAGCACGATTGAATCTCAAGGAACTCGGGTTACTGGACAACTTGTGTATTAAGTATAAGTTCATTCTAGTTCCGAGAGCTTGCTTGCTCGTCAATTGTTGAGAACACAGGTTGAAGGACAGGTTTACAAACAGATTATACAATGTCCAATATCAAGTAGTAGTACAGAGAACTTGTCCGTATTTATATTCTACGGCGGCGGCGTGAATGACGAGGGCAAATGGAAGCAAAAGTCTGGAAGATATGGAGTGGTTGAGACGTCCGTAGTTGTAATACTGTCGTCCATAGTTGTAATACTGTCGTCCATAGATGTAAGGGGATAAGGTGTAACAGGAATGGTTCCTCTAGTCATCGTTCCCCATGACATGGTCTTCGTCGAGTAAGGTGTTGTCGGAAGGCGTCTTTTCAACAGAATGCGCCGCCAGAGTTGATTTACCTTTTCCTGCATTGCTTCGAGCCAATGGTTTTATCTTGATAGACGCATGGGAAGAGGATGACGAGGCTGAAGGACGTGTACTAATTTTTTGAACCGAGCTGGGCACATTGGTTCGGGCTTTTTTGATTTTGAAGGATGCCATCGCCCGGTCTGCAAAACTTTCTTCTTTCTTAGAGTTTGATGCATATTCGTTTTCTTCTGTTCCATATCCAGGATGTATAAAGAACCCAGGTACTTCTGCGACACTACCATCGATGACGAGGAGACGGTGAAAGTTGATTTGGTAGATCTTGTACATATACGAATGAAGTTGAAAGTTGATAAAACAACAAGACTTACTTTTCGTTCCTTCCCCGTTGGATTTCCTTTCACATCGCGAATCTTCATTGTGAAACAATGTAAAGACGCCGTCGCCATAATCAGGGTGCCTGTACGGAGAGCGCTATACTGGTCCCAGGGTGGGATAAGCTTCCGATCTATGTCAAGAATCTCGTGTTGGACCAGCATACACTCCTGATTACGGAACAGTTTGCCTTTGTAGTCGGGCAAAACTGTAGGGGGATAGAGCTGGCCAACCTTAGGTTCCGGGTAGGTTGAAGTGATGTGAGAAGAAGTCGCGCCTTCGGACTCGGTCGGTGAAGCATCGGTATGAGAGTCAATGTCGAGAACGTCGACATCACGCAATCGTTTCATAACACGTCGAATGGTTGGCACGCGTTTCTCGGACTCTTCAGGTGACTGTTAACAGATAATAATTTAGTGGATCGATCAATATTGCTGTACGACGCACCTTGTATTTGTAGGGAGAGGTAATGGTGATGATGTCTCCTGGTCCGTCCATTTTACTTGCCGTTATCCATTCTTTGACAACATAATCCTAGTCGTGATGAGTGCCAATAGAAAAGGGATACAAAGAATATACCTTCTTTTCTTCTAGATCTTGTTTTCGTTCAAACTCGACGACCTCATTCAACGCAACAAGTTGATTGTCGTAGAGGCGAGATAGCTTGGTCGGGCAGTTGGAAGGCACGCCTAAAGCAAACCGATTTTTGATCTTGGAGTCCTTTGTGATGTACATAGGCTTTCGAAAAAGGGGATATGGTGACGCCCAAGAAGAAAACAGGTATGAGACGCACGTTGGATTGAGAACCTATGTAAAAATCTCCCAAAGCGCCCTGTTTTGTACCAAGGCTCTCTGGCTGAATCTCCCCAAAGATGTTAAACCTGAACTCGGCTCCAGTGCTAGTTTGATAGTCCGCGCCCCAGGTAGTTTTGTGGAAAAAATCTGTGTTACATTCGCAGCTGCTCAAAAACCCAGTGCCGGAGGTGGTGAGGTTCTCAAGAAGAGATTCGTAGATGCCGTTCTTGACGTGTTCTGCGTAGTGAGCTTGAGCTTGAGCCGCCATTGAAAGGTGAGAGAACAGGTGAAAGGGGGTAAAGTCATTTTTTCGTAAAGGAGCATTTTAACCTCCAAGAAAGGAGAAAAAATAGGAGGAAAAAGACACCACGCAAAAGAGACACGGTGACGAAATGCGCAGCAAATCCATAGGAGGGGAGACTCAATTACGCCCGTATGCGTTTGGTGGGAGGTTCGGGTTCGTCGTTGGCAGGCCGATTCGAGCGCTTCAGGCAAACACGTGGCGGCTGTGCTGGATCGATGGTTTGAACGGGCTGGGGCAGTTCAACGGATTGAACAAGCCTTGTCAGCTCGTCATTTGCCGCCAATATCTGATTTCCGTTGTCAGAATGCTTCAGTACTTTACAGTGCCCCACCCATTCCTGCAGGAATCCACAGGAATCCGCAGGAATGGCACCGGAATCCACAGGAATCTGGAGGAATGGCACCAGAATCTGCAGGAATCCACAGGAATGGGACCAGAATATGACCCATATAACACCTTTCCTTTTTGCTAGATACATTTACACTAATATGCACTTATTCACACTGACTTAAAGGGCATGAATACTTTCTTATAACATTTATATATTTCAAATTTTATATATTGAAACTCAAATATACATCTAATTTACTATTTTCTAAGTTAAATGAAGGGGCAGGAAGAGAAGGGTGGAGGGGGAGAGAAGAA